CATGAATCATGATTTAGAATCAGGAACGAATATGAGAAATAAACGTCCCCTTAAAGTTTTGGCCAGATAATACCACCAGAGACTAGTCCAAATAGTTAAGTGTGTGCGCTGTCTAACAGAATTAAAATTCTGTTTGGTCTCATTTTTATAGACTTCACAATGTATCAGAAAACAAGAATTTGGCCTCATAATAAATGCTAAATATTAAAAAGACTCGAGCAATTCAATAACTAATTATGAAAATAATATTGAAGAATCATCGAGTAACAAGAAAATCAGAAAATAGATCTGGACTCATTTATAATTTAAAACAACAGATTTGGACTCATTTATAATATTTAAATTTGTACCTGAGAGTATTGAGACCATTATCGTTACCCGCGCCGGAATTAATAATATTGTTGAGGGGAACGTGAAAAGCTTCGGACCACGACAACTGCTTTAGGCAAGTGGCGGTTGGTGTCCCCCAACGGTAACTGCCAGCTGAGAATTTCAGGTACTTGTTCTCCAACGGTTGCTTAAAGGCCTTCTCTTGTTCCAACCTCATCTTCTCCGACAGCTCGCGCGATATCCCGTGGTTCACCACCTGAAAGAAGCCCCACTCTTGTGAAGCCCTAGCTATCTGCGACTTGCACTCCTCTCTCTCCACTTCGCCGAGCTCCAGAAGGGTCAGGTCGATCAACGGAAGATCACATTCGTCGACATCGGCAACATGTTCGTAATTTGCACTTCCGCTGTGGACGGAGAACTTTCCGTCGACTGTTTTGCCGGAGAGGGTTTTGTAAGCCTTGTGCAATGGTGGGTCTGAATCCATATTATTCTGGTTATTAGCGGCTGATGATCAGGACATGGAATTATTATTGTTAGAACCGATCCAGGAGGTCTAGAAAGATATCGCTACTCAACAACAAAGAAAGTTGGTAAATGGGAGATAGGGACAAGGAGAAAGAGATTGAGACAACCCGTTTTCTTCTGTTTTCTTGTTTTGATTTCCCTTCGTCGTCGATGAAAACGTTATGACGTTTACGTTTTCCGCATTTCATTGGTCTTTGGGGACAAAGTTGATTCTATGTCTTATTGTAATTAGACTTGAAGATATCATCTATTTGACTATTTCGTCCCTTTCTCTCTCTTTTTTTTTTT